TCTGCCACATCCCGCGTTGGGTTGGTGAGAATGTCACGATGGTGATGGACTGAAAATGACGAGTCAGCGATGCAGGGTCAGCCGGCTGGCCCATGCGAGCTACTTCAACACGCATCCGTTGGCTGTGCTCCCTCGGCACCACGACGATCAACACCGGGCGGATGGGCGAGGTTGATGACCGCTCCCTCGCAGCCCAAGAGGCCAGGCACTCTATGGCGCGGTTAGGCCCGCCAATGTCAGCAACGAATAGATATGCCATATCGACAAAGGGAAAAACGAATCTCTGGTAGACTTCGTCGGCTGCCGGGACCGCGTGGCGTACATCTGCAGGCAAGTAGTCCTCGGCGGATTCGTGGCACCGAAATGATCTTGGTGCCGAGGGCAGCCGATTGTGGACGGGCAGGTCCCCGTCGGCGACGAAGACTGGCTGAGTGGCACGGGCACGCGAGATATGTAGATGGACCTCACCGTGGTGTCTCGCATTGCTGGGATGCCTGCTCCCTGGACACATGTTGGTGAGAAAGAGGGACTTTGTGTAGTTTCCGATCAGCACCGCGAAGCCATGTGGTTCCTCTAGATCGCGAACTTGTTCGAGCAGTCGCTGCGGCCTGTCTGAGACAGCCAGCAGTACACGCCTATTTTCCTGCCGCAGCTTTGTCCATTGCTTGTGTTTGCATGCGCTCATTGCATTGTATATGCTGGTGTCGTTAGGGGTGGTGATTGGCGTTTTATATGTTGCTCACAACCGCTTTTGTCCGTCGCCCTCCTGACCTGAACCAGCCTACATACTCGGCCAGCCCCTTAACGGCCCACAGAGCGATTGACGTTGGCCATAAGGTGCCAAAGACGCGCTTCTTGGCCTGTACTGAACGTCGATATCCGACGACGCGGTCGAGTATAAGAGCGCGAGAGTTTCCCAGCCAGCTGCTGCAGGGCAAGTGCTCAAGAGCGGCCGGTCGATCAGAGATGGACATCTGGGCCTGCACAGCACTCTCCGACGTTAACATAGCCGATGCCAGCGGCTTTGATCAGTGTCCGTCTCCGCTTGGGACCGACTACCGAGACCAGCGTCTCCGCCTTGCTGAGCTTGAGCGAGACGTGCAGGAGCTCCGCGAAAAGGTCGACGAAGAAGTGCATAAGCGTCGGGTCGTCGACTTTGACCGGGAGTTGGCCATCGATGCCTTGAGAGAGAAGACCGAGGAGGTCAGGCAGCGAGACGAGACGATCGACGCGCAGAACGCTCTGTTGAGTCTGGCCTGGGCTGACGCGCAAGACTTGGCCTCGTCCCACCAGAGCACGCAAGATGCATTGCAGCTACTGAAGGAGTATATCGAGGGCATACTGGCGAGCACGCCGGATCCGGAGCTCAATGCGAACAAGAAGCGCAGACATTGCTCGTGATGTTCGGCGCTGTCGCTCCAGCTGGGGCGTCCCCGACCCGGAGGGCGGTCCCCGTCTCTGACCGCAGCGGAAACGACTTCAGCAGAGCCAGCTCCGCTCTAAAAGATCGAGGACGTGTATGAGCTGGGTGGGCATCTTTTGACGTCGTTGAAGAACTAGTGGCTGGAGTCGCCGAATGATAAATCTCACCATGTATTCTTCCCATCCGTCATTGTACCACGGCAAGAAGAGAAACCCGAAACGTACCCCAGACAGACAGCGATTTTCTAGTTAGAATCGTACGTTACTGCGAACGCTGGCGCTGGGCAGGCTCGCGGGACACATCCTGCGGGAGGTATGCTAAGTTTACGACACATTGTTGGAAGAATTGAATCTGAGATCCGGCTGCATTTGCGTCCTGGCAACTTCAGCAAAGCGTCAGGGTGTGCTATGCTTAACAATGGTACATACAAGCGGGTTTAGGTGCGTTTGAAGGAGAATAAACATGCTTGCCGCCTCGTCCCAATTACCTATGTATGGACGATGCTCGACTGATGTAGCAAGCGTTTTGTAGCATCCAAACTATTTTGATAGACCTTTTAAAGTATGTATGGTGAGTGTGGCATTCTCTAGGCGGGCATCCCCTCCGTCACGAGAGCTTGCTCTTTCCTCCAGCACAACGACACGTTCCATGCGATCAATGATACACGTCCCCGGTTGTATCTTGATGCGGTGAGAGCGGAGGTTCTCTAATCTCTTGAAACAATGGCCGCACAGCGTGCAAGGAAACCTGGGTGGGTTTGCCTCATGTTTCTTGCCAGGCATTAGTCCTTTCAGTGTCTGATAGTCTAGACAGGGCTACCCCCTCATTGATGTGTCTTCTCAGATGTTCTGCACGCGAGT